AATTGATTAAATGGTTAGGAATAGGATAAGTGCACGATAATTTGAATTTAATTTTTATTATGTCATTCTATGTTTTATATATATGAAAAATAGTGTTTGTTATATCTTTTTTAGAGTAATGTTATATATATAATAAAAATTATTTAACAATTTATATAACATCACTTTTGTGTTTATCTCTTTATCGTTTCATTTATTATGAAGTGAGATATTATTATTGAAGAGTGATTTATGAGAAAAATCAAAGTCTTCAACCATCTAGATTATCAATATATGATCCTCTCCAACTATGTTGTCTTTGTTTGTAACTACTATTTAATTTGTATCTAAAAGTCATAGTTTTAAAAACCGGAAAGATGCGACATTTAATTCGCTGGGCGCGCTCAAGGCATCCTGGGCATGATGCTCCAATTTTGGTGCAGCATATAATGCGCCAGGCGCGAGTTGGGGCACACCGGCCATGATCCTGTTAGTACCAGAAAATGAATTCGGAGACACTCGAAATATACGGGTGCTCGAAATCCTAGATGATCGAAAAAAGGCAGAGAAGTTTTTTAAGAAGGCATACAAAGCTTGAAGAGAATCAAGAGATACGCGAAGAAATTTTTCGTGAAACTCTCGAAATCCTCGAACCAGGAAGGATGCTGCCCAGGAAAAGGGGCTCACAGCCTCGCAACCTCTCAAAGTACAAGCAGAATCAGGAAACATTCAAGTATATTTTTCGTTGGTTACTCGAAATCCCAAGAATCCGGACATACACGAATACACTTCATAACCTCTCAGAATGGAGAACTTAAAGGAGACACGATTTAGGAGCGGTTGAAGTAACATGGGATAAGTGTCAAAGGCTGTAGAACGGTTTGGGGAAGTTAACGAGCAGTTCCAAGAATTATCCAAAGACGGGCCCAGGAGTAGGCCACGATGTGGAAGTTTAGAACGGTTATGCACTTCCGGGGCACGTCAGAAACAGTTACCTTTCCCGAATCTTTTTCTATAAATTAAACGAGCCATGCTCGTAGTAAAGGGTCAGAAATCTAATTCCCACAATACCTCACACGCACTCCGCAGCCTGCACATAAGGCATACTGTACACACGAGACAACTTTGGGTATGATTTCTCGACCACCTTTCTTTTTCCTTTTTTAGGAGTAGCGTATCATAGCATAATCTAGCCTAGTGTAGTGTAGTCATTCTGAACATGTTTCGTTATCCTTACAAATTGTAATTCTGTTACCATTTAATGAAGGATATGATTTCTGCAGTCAATATACATGTTATCTGTTGGATTCACGTTAATTCTCACATGCATGAATTTGATTGTACAATTAGCATAGATCTTATGATGCGCTGAAACAAGCATAGATCTTCTGACGTGCTAAAACTAGCATAGATCTTCTGATGTGCTTGAACAATGAGCATAGATCTTCTGATGTGCTAAAACCAGCATAAATCTTCTGAAGTGCTTAAACAATGAGCATAGATCTTCTGACATGCTGAAACAACACCCTAATTTAACCCTATATGAGCTGAAAAAATTACATGTTAAACGGTATATTAATACAAATTAAAAATATAAATAATATGTACATATATAATATGCTTGCAATTAATATCACAAAATAATATATGTAATATTTACATAGATATTGCATTATTAAATATATAATTTAAAATTAATAATATACTATAAAAGTTATTTAAGTTGTATATATTGCAAACAAATATATTAGAACAAGTAGTCATTGTTATATTTAATAAGACTCCTTGCTTTTTCATTAAGAGATTCAATTTTCATTATTATTTTTGTGATTTATGGTCCCTTAAAATTTTTTTAAAAAAATTTAAAAAAAAGTGGTTGAACCGGTTTGACCCACCGGTTCACTGGTTGAACCGGAAAATTGACCGGTTCAATCCGGTTTGAAACGGGTCGACTGCATAACCGATCCAACTTCAGATTCGAACCGGCTGGACCACCAATTCCCGGTCCAACCGGTCCGACCGGCCGGGTCGGTCCGGGTTTTAAAACACTGCTAAAAGTTATAAAATCTTAAAATACAAATGAGTAATTTTATAATCAATTCTATATAAAGAAAAAAAGTGGGTTTGTTTGATGAAGAGACAAGATTGTTAAAGGATAATTCAAACTTAGACCATCAATAATTAAAGGGGAGAGAATTTTTTTTAAGAGTGGAGTTTATACTTAAAAATCACCCATTATTAGTGTTATTTGACATATAAATGAAATGTTTGAATTCACGTATTATAAGAATATGTATTTAGTTAAAGTTTATTTTTATTTATCAAAGTTATAATGATGATACTAGAGTTTAAATTTAAAATTCTACATATATTATCTCAATTGCTTATCATTAATCTAATCTTAATAATTTATTTAGTTACACTTTAATTTCTTTATAATCTCATTAAAATGTCAATTAATGTGGTTTAAAGTAAATTTTCACATTTTGATTACTTTAAGAACAATTCATACCGATAAAAGGTTATCGATAAGTCATTACCTAAAAGAAAAAAAAAGTGAAGTAACTTTAAATATTTTTTTTATAATAAAAATTCCAAAAATAAAGCACATTACTTTAAAATCATTTTGAATCAAACTAATTTTCATTAATTTTAAAATTAATTTTGTCAAAGTTTATTCAAACACACACTGACTCTTTTACTTACTCCTTTTAATTCATAATAAATTTTACCATTTTTTTAAAATAATTTTCTACTTAATTAAACATGTTATACTATGTTTCTTATTTGTATTCACTTGAGTGATACACAGTCATCTTTGATATGAACTACTTCACACATAGTAAAAGAAAAAAATCTCATCTATTTAATCTTCATTTTTTTTTATCTCTTTTTTGTAATTCCTCTCTCTTTTTAATATCCAAAGTGGGAAAGAGATAAGATTAATTTCATTCAGCAAAAATAGATAAGAGTATTTTTTCAGATTTTCACAACTAAATGCCCCGTGTTGTCAGAAACACATTTTCATTGCTTCTACGCTACTCCCTTTTATTCGCTACACACAGTGCAAGGTCGCATCCTCAGCAGACGGTGCCAACAAATGTCACATTTATTTATTTTTGTTGAATAAGGAATGTCCTATTTATCAAATTTGTTGTTATTATTTAAAAAAAAAAAAAAAAACGGGACCATATGTTTAAAAAAGTGAAATGAAGAGGTGGCATTGCTTTCAAAAGAAATTAATCTACCTTAATAAATGTTTAATTATGTTAATATATTTCACATTTATTAAACAAATTAATAAATTTTGTAAATATAAAATAATATAATTACGAAATTATAAAGTAAGGGAGTACATACATGTCATAATTTCAAACAATTCACTTTATCTCTACTTTTAAACTCATCAAATAAGTAATAACAACCTATTTTATCTCTTTAAGTTGATTCATATATGTTATCTCAATTTTAAGCAATTCAATTAATTTTTACTTAAATGCAAGTTTTCATCGAAAAATTGCTTAATTCACAATATTTTTTTTCTCTTTTCAACATCTCATATTATCTCTCCTACATGTACATACACAAATGCTAGTTATCCACAAGAAATGATTGTTTATAAAAACTAACTCTCTTTAATTTTAGAGTTATCACTCAAATTAATCCTAAATTTTGGATGACATTGTGATATTAGTCTTTGAAATTAAGAAATTGTAAAATATGCTTTTAAAAATACAAATTTATAATCATATAAATCCAAAACTAAAAAAAAAATATGTAACCAAAATAATAATATTAATATATATTCAAAGGCCAAAATAACAACAAATAATTAAATTTAACATCTTATTTAATATTTTAAAGATTTATTTAATAATTTTTTACATGTCAATATATCTTAAATTTAGATAACAAAGTGGTGCTTTCTCTTAATTTGAACAACCAAAAATCACGCGTGATATGTCAAAATAATAATTTATAGTTAAAGAAGCATGGCCTTTATCTTACCTTCTGTCTCTTTTTTCAATTCTTTCAATTCTCTCTTATTTAATTTTTATTTCATTTGTAAGAAAGTTATAATCATCAAAATCGCAAGTTACTACTTACTATCAATCAATGATCAATATTCATAAACACACGGAGACAAATGAACTACTTTTAGTTTAAACATGCACAGGTAGATCATAAATCGCTAGTAAGCACATAATTAGCCAGAGTGATAGTCTAACTCACCCTCAAAGATGAACGGTAAGAAACTTCTTGGGTGTGTGGAGACAAATGTAGCGTAGGTAGTGGGTTCATAACTTCATATTGCAGCGCACGACACCGTTTGGAAGGGCGTCTCCGTCAACGGTGGGTCCACGTCACGCAGACGACAGAGCCAGTCAGCATATGATTTAGCATTAGCTGCAAACACGATATTTTGGCGTCAACAGAATATACGGATAACGGGTAATAGATGCCTATCCATGCTGAGTAGGAAATAAGGTAGCATCGTATTCTATTCACTATTCACCTCCATCTCATCGTTGATCGTTGATCGTTGATCGTTGATCGTTGATCGTTGATCGTTGATCGTTGATCGTTGATCGTTGATCGTTGATCGTTGATCGTTGATCGTTGATCGTTGATCGTTGATCGTTGATCGTTGATCGTTGATTGATTCATTCAATAAAATCAATTTTATAATAAAAAAACGATATTATTTGATTATTTTCCCTAATAATAATATATATATATATATATTTTTAATATTGTGAAAAGGTGAAGTGGCTATGGCCTGGGTCTGAGAAACAGCAAAGAGAGCGGGAACGCGTTGCGTACACCTCACATTCCCTCTTCCTCTACATAAGCGCCCTCGCATCCCATTCTTTGCAGACTCAACAAGCATTCACGCTTCTCACACCTTTCATTTCTCTCTAGATCTGTGCCTCCTCTCCAAGCTTCCTTCATTCTTCACCACCGTTTTCTCACTTGTCGGTGAGTTCTTATTTTCCACCGCTTCCACTCCCTAGGGTTATCCCCTCGCGCTTCCATTGCTCCTAAAACTCTTTCTGTTTCTGTTTCTGTTTCTAAATCAATCCTTATATTTTGCGATTTTCGTCAAGCGCCGTTTCTTAAAGTCCACGTTTCTGAATAGCCTCTGTTTTGTCGAGATATTTTTTGGAAATTTTGAAACAGTTATTTCTGTGCTCTCGAATAGCTCAGATCTGTGGCTGTTTCGGCTTTTCGCTGCTCTTTACTGTCAAAATGTCTCTGCCGTTTTTCTTGTAACGGCAGCGGCTCAGGGAAAACTTAAATAGCTTCTGAATCGAAAACTGTCGAATGAGTTTTATGAAAACGTGTTTTCTTTACTTTCAAAAGGTTAGTTCTCAGGTGCCACCTGAAACCGCGATGAACGTCGATTTTGTAAGTCGTAGTTTCAGTCATTTATTTTTGCGACGGTGCTTTTGCTGAGATTGGAAAAAAAAAAAAAAAAAAGGTGTCTCTGCATATCACATTTTACTTTTTCAATTTCTGCCTTAGTTTACGCGTCAAATGGATTAATTGACTTTTTATGCTATTGATTTTCGGGCACTGTTCTTTGGGAAATCCTAGAAAGGTCAAAGGTCAATTTTGGGTATATTAGTTTTTTTTTTTTTTTAATGGTTGGTAAATTATTATCATGTAAAAATACAAGTATACAACGATGGATCTAATGTGAAATGTTGTATATCATTTTCAGACTGCGGAAATGGCTCCTCCTATTGAGACACCAAACAAGGTTTCTAACTATCAACAGACCCCACACCCTCCTCTCAATGAAAGGATTCTTTCATCCATGACCAGGAGATCTGTTGCTGCACACCCGTGGCATGATCTTGAGATAGGTAAGTAATAGCATTGTAAAATTGTGACATGTTAGTGGTTCGATCACAATGTACTGCTTTTATTTTCGTTCTTACTTTTTTATTTTATTTTATATTAACTGTATTTCTCCCACAATGCAGGACCTGAAGCTCCAAAGATCTTCAACTGTGTAAGCATACTTTGCTTAAACTTCACATACTATCCTAAGCATTTTAAAATTACTTAGATGATGACTTGCCATGAAATTTTCATGCCAAAGTAGTATAAGATCGTTAAGCTTATTTGTTTGATCACTTTGATGCGGCCATATGACTATTCAGTATTCATATAGAATATAATACAATGCTGCAAATGTGTGTGTAAGACAGTAAGAGGATATCAAATAAGTATCCAAATATCGGTATTGGATACAATATGCTAGGAAAATGCGGGAATCGGTGCATTGTAGACTGATGATTAAAACAGGGTGAAAATATTGGATAGTGCTGACTCCGTTGTTATCTCAGCTTTATCCATTTAGTTTGTCTTATTAATGGCAATAACTCTTGCTATATCTATATGACTGAATGTGTTCAACATTTGTACTATAGGTCTAAGCATATCGAGCATTATGTGGGACCTTTTTGTTGTGAACTACCAAAATTTAGTCCTCTATTATGTTTGTCTTGCTTTTCTTCCCCCCTCTTAAATGCCGTAGAAATGTAGAATAACAAGGCTATTCTTTTTCAATTTTGTAGTGACCTATAATTTTTCTAATCAACATGGCTACTCTTTGAACATTCTCAAGTTTGCATTTCATGTTGTGAGCTTAAATTGTTATGATTTTTATTCACTAAAGTACATCAACTTAGATCCTTAATCAGAAAATTAGATTTGAATACTAATGAAATATGGCTGAATTTTGTAGGTGGTCGAAATTGGGAAAGGAAGCAAGGTGAAATATGAACTCGACAAGAAAACTGGACTTATTAAGGTAATCGTGGTTACCTAGCCTTTTCTTCCCTCGTTGCACTCCTTGCTACAGGATATTGCTGAACATGTAGCTATGACTATGTGCAGGTTGATCGTATTCTGTACTCGTCAGTTGTATATCCTCACAACTATGGGTTCATCCCACGTACTATTTGTGAGGACAGCGACCCAATGGATGTCTTGGTTATCATGCAGGTACTTTTATCTTGTTCATATCGTTAACTTCTTGCAAGTTAGTGTGCCTTGTGTGATTATTTTCATTTGTAAGCATGTGTCATCTGATATTTACACAGGATTTTTCTCAAATCAGGATTTTGTTGCATATAATTATGAGAATTACCTAGTGCTTCACCGAGTTCTTAAGGAAACTATGTTTTTAAAAATTATCCAAAGTTAGACAAGCTATTCTGCCTATTTTGGACTTTACTTTATCAATGTTTTGAACAAGAGTTCTAGAGCATGGCAGTTTGACTAAATTGTTCTAATAGCATGTTTTTTAAAGATGGATTTTGTAATAAGTCAACAACTTCGCTTCAACTGCAATATCCATTACATAAGTTGGGAGAGTTTTAACTAAACTCTTCAATGTATTTTCTATAATTTTCATGATTCTAGTTTCTCATAAATGATTTTTATCATTTGAAAAGTCCATAGCTTATTTTTGTTTCTAAGCTATGCACGGACAGTTCAAAATTTAGCCAGCTCAAGGAGATCTCAATGCGTGAACCTGAATAAAATTATTTTATATATCTACTTTAATTGAATTCTAGAATATTTTATCATAATAATTAAAGGAGAGGATCAAGAAATGCTTCATCCCGTATTACTCTGACATTTTTCAATCCAATACGAGTCAATGAATTGGTCTTCTTAGTCCAACAAATTTATGTTTTTTTACTGCTTTTGTGAGATGATACTAACCCTTGCTCTTACTTGGTTGGACAGGAGCCAGTTCTTCCCGGATGCTTTCTTCGGGCCAAAGCTATTGGACTCATGCCTATGATTGATCAGGTATATTAACATTCCCTTTTTCCACAAAGCAAGAGCTTCCCTCTCTTTTGACTACTGATAATGATTAGCCACTAATTGTGATGAAATTCAGGGTGAGAAAGATGACAAGATTATTGCTGTCTGTGCTGATGATCCTGAGTACCGGCATTACAATGATATCAAGGACCTTCCTCCACACCGTCTAGCTGAAATTCGTCGTTTTTTCGAAGATTGTATCCTTTGCAAAAATTTCAAAATCTGTTTTGTTCAGTACTTTCCACTGTGTTAGTATTTACACAACAGCGAGATACGTTAGTATCATTTATATATATCAAACTGTTTTTGTGTTGTTTTCCTTCATAAAGGAATTAGACAAGAAGAATGAGAACAAGGAAGTTGCAGTAAACGACTTTCTTCCTGCCTCATCTGCCTATGAAGCGATCAAGCATTCCATGTAAGTAATAGCTACCTGATTCAGGATTACTAAACCGAAGTTTTATGTAAAGTTAAAATTTTGTAAGGTGTCAATTTTAACAATTTTCTCTTTTATTCATGCGCAATAATTATACCAAGTTTATAATCTTTTTGTTTTTTGGTTGTGAAGGACCTTGTATGCGGACTACATTGTGGAGAGCTTGAGGCGGTAGTGTTGATGCTTTGGATTTTGCTTGGTCATGCGTGAAGACGTATATTAAAGGCTGCTATTTTATAATTATGATTATGACGAAAACAAAAGCTTTCTGTCCTTGTCGCGTGTACATTGGTCTCAGGGCTGTTTTGCACATGTGCTTAATTGAGTGAATGATTTTTTCATTTATTAATGTCAAAGTTTTATATTTTCGCCCAATCTGCCAAAAGTTTGGTGCATACTGGATTTTTAGTTCATACATCTTATAAAGTATTTTTACAACAATTATTTGTAACATGTTTTCTGTGCTTACGGATATTGCTGCCCAAGAAAATTTGCATTGAATCGAGATCAACATTATCTCATTGCTTATCAGGCTAATACGTGCAAATAATGTGCGATAAGTTTACGTTTCACTTTGCGATAAGTTCTCCCGTTACAGGCAACGTTGCAGCTTCGTAAGCAAAGCACAATGCGTAATTGTGTTTTGTGTGTACCGGATGATACCTACGCACCACAACTAGTGGCATCCTAGCGGATCGAGCAACTCGTTTAAAGTTGGAAAATAATTTTTTAAATTAATTTTATATGTTTAAGTCGTGATTAAATTTTGGAAAATGCTTGGAGGCTGAAAAATTGTCAGAATAATTAAAAAATTATTATTATTTAATAAATTTATTATAAAATAATTATTTTATAATAAATTTATTTAAAAAATAATATTTTTTTAATTATTCGAAAGCGTTTTTCGGCTTCTATTTTCGGAGGCTGTAACAATACTCTTAAATTTTATATCTACCTTGCCTCGTGTCTTTCAAATATCTAAATTTTCATAACTATATTATATGAGAAAAGTTTAGGCTACATTTTTTTTTATTAAACTCTTTTATAATACTTACTCTCACATGGGTTTTTATCTCTGTTTCTCTGTATCGCGTTGATAATATTTTTTTCGTTTATCTTTTCATCTGTCATTCTAAAATATTAATGTTTTTTTAAAACAATTTCTGAAAAATTCAATAACAGACTTCAAGGATGCAGGTCAAATCCAACCAAAACATACCGACTCCACACTTTTTCAAATGTGCATTTGGGAGGGGTAATTGCTATTCAATAAGAGAGTAATATAGCTGAGAAAAACTATATTTTATATATAAGAACAGTGATCAGTACGTGCAAAATTGTATACGACCTCACAACCAAAAAAAGGGAGCACTGAATACGACCTTATAGATTGAACTGCGAGACGGACGGGGAGATAACAAACCGTGTAAAAATCCTTAAAAATTTTCAGAACAGTGAGAATCAAATAGCCAAGGGCAAGGCTGCAGATAGTTTCTCTGTTTCTTCTTTCGCAAATTTTACTTTAAATATTAATTTTTATCCTCTAGTAAGAAAAAAATAAAAATAGATAATTTTAACAATGTGTCATCCAATATTAAATTGTCATGTTACTGATGATTATTATTTTTGTTAATTATTACTTTAGTTCGGAAATTGTTATGTACACTCTTTTTGTTTAAAAATTCAATAATGTTTGTATAATAGTTGCATCATCTTATTCAGGTTAAAAACCCAAGTAGTTTAGGCTTGGGCCATTTAGGCTTATAATTTTATTTTGGACCTTGTATTTTGGGTCAAGTAGCATAGGTTCATTTTAGGCCATGTATTTTGGCCATTTATGAAATAATTTCATGTGAGTTTAAATTTAGTGTCATTTGAGACACATTTAAGGTGTAATTAGGTTCATTTTAGGCCATGTATTTTGGCCATTTATGAAATAATTTCATGTGAGTTTAAATTTAGTGTCATTTGAGACACATTTAAGGTGTAATTAGGTTCATTTTAGGCCATGTATTTTGGCCATTTATGAAATAATTTCATGTGAGTTTAAATTTAGTGTCATTTGAGACACATTTAAGGTGTAATTAGAGTCATGTGACTGATCATGTGGATGGTGCATATGATGTGACTCAAATTCACCTCAAATGTGAATCAAATCACATTTAAATGCAAAACACACATGTAGCACATGGAGGAGTTGGGAATCTAGAAGTGCAAATTCAAACTTGAATTTTAGGCGCCAAGAGTTAAAATTAACCATACCATGGTTAATTCTAACTCTTGGTCTTAGCACACTTCCGTGACCTATATATAGAGTAGGACCATGTATTATTCTCACTTTTGAGCATTAATTGAGAGCAAACTTCTATATTTTCTCTCAAAGCTGAGAGTCACCTAGAGTGAGGGGAAACCAACCTTTCACCTTGAGATTTCCTCTTTGTAGCCTGCACAACTACAACCCCAAATGCACAATTCCCCTGCCAAATTATATGATAACGTATACTATATATTTGTTGAGTAAAATAATAAGAGAAAGATCTTACCAAATTTCTTATTTTAAGAGAATTTATACTCATATAACATTTTATACAAAAATAGGAATGAGAGAAAATGTAAAATTAGATGAATGATTTGATATAAATAACTGACAGGTGTGCGTGTTTATCAGTTTTGGATCTACATGCTCTTAAAATAATTTGTTTATTATGTTGCTAGTTTATTAAGAAGTTGAAGAATTATAGAAGATGGCAGGCTAAGTATTCTCATAGACTCGTCAAGTGAGGATGGTAATCAATATTTGAAGGATGCATTTACATAATAAATATTTAAAGGATGCATTTTTCTCATTCTGATTTCTGACATTACTTTAGCTCAATTAATCAGACTTTTTACCCCTTTTACCCTTTTATTATATTCCTTTTCTCACGTTTTAGCATGACAATATAATCTATGATCTCAATTAATTAACATCCTATTTTTCTTTTCTATTGTATAACAACTAACTAAATGAAACTTTAGTTTCTGACACTATAGAACATTTAGTTGAACAAATGTTATCGCCTCGCGATTCCAAAGGGCGTAAGAATCGATATGATGTATGGAATCACTTTATTGAGGAGCCAAAGCCCAACATAGATAAAAGAGCTAAATGTAACCATTGTGGTACATTCATTAGGTTTGAGAATGGAACAGGTGCTATGTGAAATCATTTACGTAGATGCAAGGGTATATCAAATAAAATGGCGAGCAAGAAGCAAAAATCAGACTCATCTGGAACCATGGTTTCTGCCCCTTCATTGGCTAGGCCCAAAATTGACCAACAAGCATTGAAAATTGTAATTGTCAAAATGTTTGTGGCAATGGAGCTCCCATTTCGATGTATCAAGCATGAAACTTTTCATGAGTTTTTAAGCATTGTAGCACCCTCTCTTAATGTCATCTCATATACTACCCTAGCACGTGATATTTATAAACTTTGGGATAATGAAAAAGAAAAGTTGAAGGAATTTATTTCTCAAAACTGTCAAAGGGTTTGCCTCACCATAGACACATGGACTTCATCTCAGAATTTGAGTTATATATGTTTGATTTCTCATTTCATTGACAACAATTGGAAGTTGCAAAAGAAGGTGTTAAACTTTTGTCAAGTCATTAGTCGCACAGGAAAAACCATGGCTAAAAAGGTTGAACATTGCTTGAGTAAATGGGGTTGAATTGTGTTCTTACTTGGACAGTTGATAACGCCTTGTCAAATGATGTTGGAATCCAATATCTAAAAAAAAGGCTAATGTCTTGGAATAGTTTGGTTATGAAGGGAGAATATATTCACATGCATTGTTTTGCCCATATTCTGAATTTGATTGTGAAAGAAGGTTTCAAGGATAACATTGATACTATTTTGAGAATTCGCGATGTTGTAAAATATGTACGATCTTCCCCTTCTAGGTTGTTCAAATTCAAGACATGTGTTTAGCAACAAAATATTGAATACAAAAGCCTTGTTTGCTTGGATGTGGAAACCAGATGGAATTCTACCTACTTAATGTTAGAGGTTGCATTGAAACTTCACAAGGATTTTGAAGAGCTTGAGATGCAAGATAAGGAATATATCGAAGAGTTAGAAAAGGTAAAGGGTGTTGCTTCATATGTTGATTGGGAATTTGTGCGTGCAATCCTACCATTTCTAAAATTGTTTTATGATGCTACTTTGCGCATGTCTGACTCAATTTATGTAACTAGCAATAGATACATGTTTGAGGCCTTTGGAATTGGAAAGAAGATCAACCAAATGTCCAATTCTAGGGATGTAAATGTATGCATTATGGCAGAAAATATGAAGAAGAAATATGATAAGTATGGGGCAATGCTAATCGTCTAAATATGTTTTTACTTATTGTTCTTGTGTTGCATCCAGGATACAAATTATAGTTCATGCATTGGTTGATTAGTCAAAATTTTGATGGTGAGGTGGCATCTAGTTTGAAAGAAAAAGTGGAGTCTAGTTTGAAATTACTTTTTCAAGAGTATAATGGTGGAAGAGATGAAGTAGAAGATAACTCACAAGAAGCTCGATTCAATGAAGGAGGTAGTGATGACCGTTATGGTTATAACCATTTTTTTTCAACAAACTAGCTCTAATAAATTTGAATTAAGCAAATACTTGGAGGAAGCCTTAGAAGAGAGTTATGGAGATTTGGTATTTTGAATTAGTGGAAGCTCAACTCGGGTAGATTTCCAATTCTTGCAAAAATGACTAGAGATTTGCTTACTATACCTATTTCTACAGTGGCCTCTGAATTTGCCTTTAGTACTGAAGGAAGAGTTCTTGATCCATATCATAGTTCTCTTACACCTAGAATGGTAGAAGCACTTATTTGCACACAAGATTGGCTTAAAAGAAAATAGTTACCATTGTTTTCAAATGAATTTTGGGATTTTGAGGAGTTGGAGAAATTTGAACAAAGTAACAAGCTAGATTTATTTTATACTGCATTATTGTATTATATACTTATTATAATTTGATCAATAATTGATAACTATTTTTTTATTTTGCAGCAATTGTTTCCCCACCAAACATTGCTTATTCAACCTCATCTGTTACACTTGGTGATGATTGAAGATGGATTATTTAGTTAATGATATGATTTGGACATTGTAATTCTTATTGTGGCTCAAGTTGCTTTGACTCTTAATTGGTAGATATTTTGGTGGATATAATATGACCATAGCAATTACTTAGTGGATATTTTGATTTGACTTAAAAAGGTATATAGCCTTAGGTGAGACTCAACCAATTGAGCAAATACTTGGTAGAATGTTTTGAATTGGATATTTTCAAGTTTCTTTTAAGAATTAGGATATATATTGTAATTTTTAACCGGTGATGTGAGTTGTTTCCATGGATGTCTTTATTTTTTCATGTTATGGTTTATTCCTTTTACTTCTATGGATGAACATCACATGTATGATGCAAACAAGAATTATTAGTTTAAAAAAACCTG